ACCTGAAAACTACCCAGCGGCGCACCAGCAGCCCCAGAGTAGCGGCGCCAACTCATTGGCGCGAGTCCTCCGTAGATTTCCCCGCGCGGAGGTGCGCCATCTCCTTTCACGGGCGCTCCTACCTTTATTACCTTGCCTCGTCGCAATTGTTCCGCGCTGATCCCAGGGTGGTTTCCTGTCTGCAGTTTGCGGCTGTCACCTCCCATTGCGTCCACCTCAGACCATCGCCAGTATCCAGTCCGACTCCGACTTTCAATGCCTTTCTCCGTGGAGCAGGTCTTCAGAGGCGCCGCGCCAAGTCGATGACGTCTTGCGCAACTGCCGTGGCTCTTCTAGTCGTCTTCTGCTGCTCCCACCTCGCACCGACCGCAGTTGCCGATCGATGCTCGGTGGCGGCCGCCGAGGCGCTCCCTACTTCCGCTAACGTACTGCTGGGCTGACAGCCCTGACCATCCTCCAACAGTTCGGTGTCAACACCGGTGGGCTGGCCAGACTCCTTAGCTCCTCTTCACCTGCCTTCTCGCTTCGCATTGCTCGACCTGCTACGCCGCGATCCTCATGCCTGGTCTTGCGGCTCCAATGTAACGGGTTTTTCTTTTTTCCCTACCTCCGTCTCGGCGAGTCTCGCTTACACAGCGCCCTCTGGGCGGGGGGGGCTTTCCGGCCGTCCAGTGATAGATACAGAGGGAGGGGGGGCGCCAAAGAACCTGATGTTGGCAAACAGTAGTCAGTAACTGCAGCCACGCCTGCAACATCCAAGCGCAAACTAAATCGCTTAGCGAACGTCAACTAATAATTGCCTAAAAAGTCATTCCCGTAGAGGCGAAAAACACACGCAATTAATATTAGGCAGAAACAAAGTGCATCATAGCGAGAAACGACAAAACACACAGTTGGCGTTCCACATGCAGTCTTGCTGAGCTAAGCACACCTAGAGTTCGAACTCTCCACCTATAAGTGTCCACGAATTTCTTCTCATACATTAATAAACACACAGATTAGGTTTCCTTCCCTCCTCCGTAACCTACGCTAGCCGTTATAGTTAACGTTGCCATTACGTCCACAACAGTCTACAAATTCCTACAAATATTTCATAAACACGTACGGTTTACCTCAGCATACAGCTACATACGTACACATACTGGTCTACATACGTACACATACCAAAGTACCACTAGTAGTTATGTGGTGACTAGTACGTACGCACTACGAAAGCACTACAAAATTTACAGTACGCCCACGTTAAAGTAATTAACAATCGGACGCTTCTTAAACACAACTGGCCGCCATCGCTCTGCAGGCGTATTCTTTCTTCGCGGCAACGTTTTCTCTATTGTTCTGCCTTCCCCTGGAATCGTCCTCGCGGCTAGCGCCAATCTCTCCGTGAGATAAAACTGCAGCATCGATTGCACGAATTCTAAAAGCGAATATCTGCTACAACTGTAAACGATGCCATTACCACTCGCTAGAGTTAATATGGGCGCACTTTTTCAACGAATGAAAACACGATAAAGTTGAATTCAAGCCGTTTTATTTAACACTGGTGTCCGATACCATACCGGTATATCGATCGACGACACTACCAATGTAGTACGTGTTGTAGACTGGTAACCTCGTCGACAGTTCCACACGCCTACATAACACGTCAGTGTAGCGAAGGATATATGCCGGAGTGAGGGTGGCGAACGGGTACCAGTCTATACGTGTTGTTGACAGCTTGCAATGTAGAGCTATTATATGTAGTATGTTCTCTGAATCTGCTCGCATGATTTGAAATTGCTTGACTGTAAACGATGCATTACCACTCATAGGAGTATATTTGGCGCACTTTTGCAATGATGAAAACAGAATAAAAGTTGATATTTCAAGCCGTTTTATTTAACACTGGCTAAAAATAGCATACCGGTGTATCGAAGCGACTACCATTAACCATGTACGCTGTGGCGCAGTTGTAGCACGCTTGCCTCATAGCGCTTGCTCATTTACTATAAAAGGGAAAGCGAATTTTTATTAGCTAAGTTATTTTTAAGTTAAGGAATTCCCCTCATGGGACTCTCCTGGGATATCCCAAAATCCATAATGATGCTCTTCACGACAATGTGCTCACCACATCTTCACGTTCGGTTCAGTTTGACACCGAAAACTTTGTAGCTGAGTTAATACACGTTAATAGGCCTATACCTTTATCTCCTGCACTTAAGGTAGGTTTTCCAATTCCTGCATGAATTATGTATTGTTGGCAAAACACGTTAAACCCCCAGACAGCCCACAGACAGTGATTACCAACTGCTGACCAGAAAGCTCCTGAAATTATTAACTTGCTGACCAAACTAAACTGCTGATATTGGGGATTTCAATTTTAATATCAATTCTTACAAACTGCTGATATAATTCGATATTAGGCATAAAATAAAAAAATGTCTGTTTACGGTTCCAAAATCAATTTTTTAAAGGGTTATATTCGAGAATGACTCTGCAATGGTACTAGACTCAAAATCCATAGACTTCACACACACATACTTGATGCAGAAACACTCACCGGCCCTGGCAGTGAACAAAGAACATTAATACCCAGGATAATATCAGCTCCATCCGATGCCAAGCTATCATTTACACTGCAACGCTGCCAGTTCCCTATTCGCTTGGCTTACTGCATCACCATCAATAAAGCGCAAGTCAAAACTTTCAAGAAGCTGGACATTTTCCTCCCAAAACCCGTCTTCTCTCATGGCCAACTTTACATGGCTTCCTACGTGCTAAATCTTTTGCCGAGATAAAGCTTCAACTGGAAACTACTCACAACCAAACTCAAGGCAAATCAGTCTCTGTTTACGACACTACCAACGTTGTATACCCTGAAGTTCTGTAATTTAGTGCCCATCACCTGTACGTTTGTATTCTATTTTACGCCTTCAAAGTACTTCTTCTCAGCTAAACCATGCATCTCTACATTCACAGCATATGCCCGCACCCGTGAGCATCACTACGCATAGACTTTCACTACCATAGGCTTGGGCCTGACCACACCTGCCTTCCTTCCATGGCATGCTCTATGTTGCCTCTCACAAGTAGGCAAACCCAGGGCGATGTACATTCACACACAGCACACGAAGACCAAAAACATACTTTACAAAGAAGCCCTTGATCCTTAGGTGAGCTAACAACACTAATACACTCATTCATGAATTCCCACCGTGCGAAGGACGGGTACTTTGCTAGTTAAATATATAAACAAGAATATACACAAAGTGACCCTGAACAATTGAGTTCCTCCGCAATCTGCTGCGTACTCGTACGATGTCACCAATGCTGATGTATTCAAAGCAAATGTGTATGTGTTACATTCCGCAGAACAACTGTTATGATTTTTCATCAAAGATTTTTACCTTGCGTTTTTTTATTTTTCTGGACAATACGCTACGCCCTAACATAAATAAAATCATGCTGCTTAATTCTACTAAAAAGTGTGTTATATTAAAAGAATTCTAGCAACTATTTTTTAGAAAAATATCTAACATTCAAGTCATCATTATATTTACAGCTGTAATCGAACCCGTGACCATCGTCTCTCAGTAAAACATCTATGCACTCACCCAACCTTGATATGTTTTGTTTAGATCTAATGCATATAATATGTTATACATTGCTCAACAATAGAGAAAAAACATTTTTGAGAAGAAAGAAGTTCAAATAACCGGAACCTCGGATCGTCAACTCCAAGACCAATATACGCTATGCACTCCCCCAACGTGATGACGTATGATTCATATTTCGCATCAGAACTTACATACATGAGCAAGAATATACACAAATTATAAGTGACCTCTGGATAATTGAGTGCCTCCGCGATCTGCTACGCACTCATACGAAGCTACCAATACTGATAATGTGTGATTTATATTCAGAACCAATGTGTATGTGTTACATTCACATTAATGCGCTCCATCGATTCATCACGCATCCCGCCACAATACTTCTTATTTTTACTACTTTATTACATAAGAAAAGCGCTCGCGTCACTGGTTGCATTGCCAGTCAAGATAATATTTACCGGCTAAACTTACGCACTTAAAGTGGGCAGGAATAATCCCGGGATAGATGTGCATGGTAAAATCCGCTCTAAATATTTCTCTTTGGCTGCAGCATCTGGCCACAATCCTCAGTCACATGCTAATGTTGTACATAGGAATAGTGCTCGCGTCGCTGGTCGCATTGCCAGTCAAGTTAATATTTTTCTACTTGGAAACTTACGCGCTTATAATGGGCAGGGGTATATGCTGAGGAGAGATTTTGATGTTAAAATACGCTCTAACGTTTTCACTTTAGCGGCAGCATCGCGCCACAATCCTCTCTATATGCTAATTGCTAATGTACGGATGAATGGTGCTCACGTCGCTGGTCGCGTTGCCAGTCGAGATAATATTTTTCGTGCAAACTTACACGTTAAAAATTGGCAGGGTTAGGTCCAGTAGAGATTGGCATGGTAAAATACGCTCTAAAAATTTCACGTCGGAAGCGGCATCCCGCCACAATCCTTAGTTACCATATTCTGATGTAGGATGTCTTCCTACATGCATGCGGGATGACGCTGGTTTTGCCGGTCGTTGTTGCCGGCCAAGGTGATTTATCCGGCCAATGATACGCGCTCAAAATGCGCAGTGAGGGGGGTAGAGGGTCACACACACACACACACACACACACACACACACACACACACACACACACACACACACACACATATATATATTTACACATGTTGGTTATCTTTACATGAACATAAGTTAAATCAGTTGCTATCATCAATGTCACAATTTTGTTTGAATTCATACTAGTATCTTGGATTTCTTTGTTTAAGCATTCGTCAAGAGTCGTTCAGAAAAGGAAAAGGAGGCTTTGATCGAGGAACACCTTACACAATTAACATGCCTCAAAATAAATCACGAGAAAGAAATTCGGATGATGTGTGAGAAGCATGAGAAAGAACAACTACATGCCTCAAAGGAGGAAGGTAATTCTATGGATTTTGTTTAAGCTCGTCTACTTTGATTTTTTTTACAGTGAAACGTCTAACGTCTAAGATTAACATCTAATTATTGAGGCGTAACACACATATAACCTCATACTACGCAATCAAAAGTTTAGCGATCTCGAAAAGTGAAAAGTAAAATGTGAGTAGAGACAAAAGTGTGAAATCACAACACTCATTTACTTTTCAGCAAGCAAGTCTTTACTGAAAGGTCTCGAAGAAATTTCAAAGGAAGAAGAAATATGTGCACATAATACATTGTGGAAACTGGCGTCTTTTGAAAGAGGAATTCGTAATGTTTTAGACATTTACTGCAGCCCCTTCAAGTCTAAGGAGGATCGAATGAAGCATGAGAAGGAACTGCTAAGGAATACATTTTCTCAGAGATTTGGAAATATCAATATGTACAATGATTTAGAACACATTTTCAAATATGATCAGAAACATTGTGGGAAAACAAAAGAAGAGAATGGGCAATTATATCAAGTTTACATGAAGTACTGGAGTTCACAAATCGAGCTTTTTAAGTACAAAAATATCCTACACCGATTTCAAACATGGAGCAATATTCAAGGTGGACAGAAGTAAATTGTTGACTTGACATGTAGCATATTTGTTGAATGAAAATTTGTTGGTGCTTCACAGGATTCCATTTTATTGTTAAGATGGTGATATCATGTCTGATAATACTGTATGGTAATAATGATACCAGTTTGACACCCATCTTGTAGGCATAGAGATCATGACAAGTCAATTTGTTATGTGTTGCTATTTTATTTTGGAACACATAGATTAAAGTGTTCATCCAAATGTAACAGTGTAAAAAAAGTCAACTACATAATAAAAAATTGTTGTAGCAGTTTGTTACAGCATGGTACAATACAGTTATTATTACAGACAAACTCACATATAAATACAAGAAAACAATTAGGGCCACATTTTAGCCAATTTAAATAACTGATGTTATTTAGTGTACGCAAGCATAAGAATTCGATTAAAGTAACTAACGTTCTGCTGCACCCCCAATAGCAACGTCAAATGACACGTGTTTTTAACATGTTAACAAGCCACATCGTATTTTTCCTAATGTGCACACCTATTGTGTCCAAATTTATGTGCAATTCTCTAGACTGCTATTGCAAGATGTCTATGGTTTGAAATCATATATACATAAAGAAATCACATAACTTGTGTGCCGGGATTGGATGATGGCTAAGAAATTTCGTCATTTCAATAATTCAATTATAATTGGGGTTGTCCTCGTAGATTTGTAGCCTGTGAATACCATAACTGTTGTAACCACGACTGTAATAATTAGGTTCATTAAAATCAAATTTTATTTGCATATGTATAAATATTGTATTTGCATGTGATAAAAGTAGGGAAATAATTGTTGTAAAATTCTTAGCCTTTCTCCTTCACAAACTTATGTAATTATTTGCGTATGTAATTATAATATATAAGGCGCGTGATCGTTGCATTACGCGTGCGTGCGTACGTGCGTGCGTGTGATCGCTAAGGGTGGGGCCAGAGGGGAACAAGACCCGCGTCCCCAGTCGAAGAAATAAATCGGTAACTCGTTGATCATCGATTTATGAAAAGAATTCGCAGTCGCTCTCCACCGGCAGCGCTTCGCTGGTCGCAGTAACTTATATAATAATTATGAGCCAACAATATAACACAATCAAAAAGGTAAGGGCCGTTTTATTTGTACATACCAGTGTACAGCAGAGGCGGAGCCTACTCATTTGCCTTGGTGTGGGCTTGGAGTAGTCAGATTATTACTCCAAGGCGTGGGCAAAGCCACGCGCGGTCGGCAGTTCGCCGTTGACTCGCAATAGTATCTAGATTTGTCTGGGTCGGCAAACGGGCAACTGACTCCTTTACCCCGCACCGCTTGTATAGATGCATATACGATGTGTGCGTGTGTGTGCGTGTGCGCGTGCGTGTGTGTGTGTGTGTGTGTGTGTGTGTGTGTGTGTGTGTGTGCGCGCGTGTGTCACTGTGTGTGTGCGTGCGTGCGTGTATACCTACGCGTGCGTGCGTGCGTGCGTGCGTGCGTGCGTGCGTGTATATATATATACACCATATATATATACTATAAAAGTCATAGGTTAGCTTGCTAAACCGCTAATGATACATTGTAAACATTTATGTTGGCGAAATATGCTAGACTAGTCGTGGCCTATTCACCCTAACCTATACACTCTAACCTATCAGGGCCGTAGTGGCCGCCACAAGGGGCGGATTCAGACCGTATTTGCCGTATTGGGAAATACGGTCTAGATTTCAAAGTGCCCTTCGAAATTACAGAAAATACAAAAAATGCAGAAAACAATTTGATGGAATTTGGCTATATTCTTTATTTGTTTTCGTTTTCTTCTAATTCATTGACAGGACTTGAAGGAAATCAAAATTTTACATGGTAACAAAACTAGCTTTGATATCTGAAAAAAAAGGGAAGTGCTTGAATCATTCTGCATTAATTGCTGGTATGCAAAGCGCAGGCAAAATGAAGCAGAAATAAAATTCCATATTGGGTTTTAGCTATTGCTGCTTGACTAAATATGATCTCAAATGGTGCTCATTTTTGTGCCCAGGGACCCTTGAAATTATGACATTTCCCGGGGGAGGCCCCCCAGACCCCCCGCGATTTGCCCTTATGGGGGATGTGCCCTTAAAAACTGGAAAATACTAGGAACGTCTGGAAGAACTGGAAAGTCTAGCCTCAGCCCTGGATCCGCCCCTGGCCACGGCAGCACGGCACTGCCGTGGCACTATTTTTTCCAAAAAGCTGGTGGAGCTGGTGGAGAATGAGGAAGGGGAGGAGGTGGCGGAGAAGGAGGAGGGGAGAAGCTGGTGGAGAAGGAGAAGGTAGAAGCTGGTAGATAAGGAGGAGGGGAGAAGCTGGTGGAGAAGAAGGAGAGGAGAAGCTGGCGGAGAAGGAGGAAGGGGAGAAAGGAGAAGCGTGCTGCGCCGGCATTTCATTGATGTACAGGTGGGGCTGGGTTGGCAGATTCTCCCTTCTCCCCTTCCTTCTTCTCCCCTTCCTCATTCTCCCCCTCCGTCTCCCCACCTCCTCCACCAGCTTCTGCCCTCCTCCTCCTCCACCAGCTTCTCCCTTCTCCCCTTCTCCTCCACCAGCTCCCTTCTCCCCCTCCTCCTCCTCCACCATCTCCCTTCTCCCCCTCCTCCACCACCT